GGGTTTAGGGGAGTAGGGTTTAGGGTGTAAGGGTTTAGGGCTTCAGGGGGTTTGGAGTTTAGGGTCGAGGGGGGTTGATGATATAAATCCTGCAGCACCCATAATAAGGAATACGCCACAATTCCCAAAGTTCAGCGTCCTTAAGGTAATACAGGATTCATATCATCATCAGTATTACCTCGGCTCTTTGTAAGAGATTCAACTTAAGCTACAAACGTGCTTTCCTTGTGATGGTATCTTGGAATCAGACTCCTTAGCGAGAATCGGTGCTGGGTGCCAAGCTTAGCCCTGTAGTTTTTAGGTTACAGGCCCTAAACCCTAAACCCTAAACCCTAAACCCTAAACCCTAAACCGTTAAGGCACGGTGCATTGAATTCTACAGTGGTAGGGTTTAGATTTCAGAATTTAGCTCTTGGACTTCCCAACCATCCAGAGAAGGGTTTAGGGTTTAGGGCTTAGGGTTTAGGAGAAATACAGCCTATCAGCTCCTTACTTGGTGCTGAAGGCAGTTACGGGTGCTTGCGAAGTGGAGAAGTCCAGGTATACCTTTATTAATAGCCCTAAAACAATAGACTGATATAAGCCCGCCCCAACCCCTAACCCCTAACCCCTAAACCCTATAAACCCTATAAACCCTATAAACCCTAAACCCTATAAACCCTAAACCCTTAAGACCTCGACAGCCCTCCCTCCACCAAGGGCATGTTGTTGCAATGTTACGGTCTCCGCTACTTCCAAGGCTTTCCAACCAACTGGGTCTCCGATATGGAACTGTTCCGATGCTGAGCCCCGACCCTAAACCCTGAACCCTACACCCTAAACCCCTTAACCCTCAACCCTAATTCCGAAACCCTAAACCCTTTAACCCTCAACCCTAATCCCTAAACCCTAAACCCTTTAACCCTGAACCCTACACCCTAAACCCTTTAACCCTCAACCCTAATTCCGAAACCCTAAACCCTTTAACCCTCAACCCTAATCCCTAAACCCTAAACCCTTTAACCCTCAACCCAAATCCCTAAACCCTTTAACCCTCAACCCAAATCCCTAAACCCTTTAACCCTCAACCCTAATCCCTAAACCCTTTAACCCTCAACCCTCAACCATAATCCCTAAACCCTGAACCCTCAACCTTCAGTGTACGGAGATGTACGGATCAAGGGTTACCATGGTTACGTAAGGAGCCCCCTAGCCCTTCATGCCTTGGGCTCTATCTTAAGCACTTCATAATAGGCACAATATAGCCCTAAACCCTAAACCCTATGTTATAGGGTTTTAGGGTTTAGAGCTATATTTTGTCTATTATGAAGTGTAATATAGACAAAATTCAAAATCATAGAACCTGCTCTTCTGGGTTTCCTGGGGCCTAACCCCGGTGCATCAGGGGCCGTCTA